CAACATAATATATATTTTTATTTTTCCAACTCTTACTTTGCTTTCAAGCATAAACTCCAAAAGTTTTATGTAATTCCACCCACTACACATTTTGTCAATCTTTAAAAACCATTGTTCAAGCTAAAACATAATTCCGAGTTTCCGCTTTGAATACAACTTGGATATTCTGCAAAATGAGACAATAAATTATCATCAAAAACAGCTTCATAATGGCGGACTGGGAAAGGGCCATTCCTAAAGTTGCGACCAGGGGGATGTCTAGGTGGGGGCCATAGGGGCAGCCGTCCTGGGGAGCGCGATTAGGGGGCGAGCTTGTTGCTCAATTAGAGGATTTAAATAATAATACTAATAATACAAGTATTTCACTCTTACTTGATCATTGATTGTTTCATACTCATGTATAACAACATCTACAATTCGTCTATCTATAGTATTATTTTTGAAGTTAGGTAAGTGGGGGAAGGTTAGGTAGTGGGAATTATTATAAGAAACTCGCCTCGGGTAGCAGTAAAGTTTGACACGTCCCTGCAACTTGTAACGCAAGTTTTTCTCACTGGCGCATTCAAATTCCAGCATGTATTTTAATATAATGCTTTCAATCCTTGTCTTGGTGAATGTAAGATACAAGACCCATTTCTTGATTTTCAATAAATGACGCAAATATTCTACAAAATTGAGAATTGTAGTTGAAACATATTTTTTAATTCTAAGCAGTGTGTCGCTAATTACATGCAGGCCTGTTGTTTCTGCAATTTAGTTGTTCAAATGAACTGTTGTAGTCTCTATAAATTGTACGACCTCATAGCAAAATAAAATACTTCCCTAAAATTGATATTGCTAAATATCGCCATCCCATAATTTCGTGATGTTGTTTGTCAACAAAAATTATACATACTTTAATTACTCAATTACCAAAGCAATGTAAAGCAAACGATTCCAGCATTGTTCCAGAACTAAACCTACCAACTACGGCCATATTTTTTTTATTTTCATCGATAATTAGGTTATCGTACGAAATTCTACCTTCAAACATGCTCAATTTCCGATCTGCATTGAAAAATTTTCAACCTACTTGTTTCTAAACTTGTCAAGACAATCTTAAACTATGGAGGTTCACTAAACCTTCGTATTACATGATGTTGTCGGCAAACGCGCAGTTTGAAAGCTTAGTGGGTATATGGGCCAACCTATCACAAAAAATGTATTTGTTGTTAAGAAACAACGAAACTAACGAAAGGGTTAATTCCTATTATATATCTGTTATTTTGCGGACATTGCGGTATTTTACTGTGCTATGTTTATTTTTGTATTTATTCATTTGTTCGTGTTATTCGATATGGAATTTACCGATCTGGAATAATAAACGAATTGCATCATTTTCGGAAGCAGATCGTGAACTCGTGTGCATGGCATACTGCCATGACAAAATTCAAATGGCCCGTAGTAATTGGGGACTTGTGACTCCTACCATGTTTATATATTGATATATAGTCCCTGTTATAATAGCACTTGGCCTAACAGTTGCGGAAAAATGATGAACGTTCAAAATGAGTTTGTAATCGCTTCTCTGATCATTTTGGGCGGGCTCAACGCTGATTTTGAGAGTATTTTGGAGAGTTGGCTCTTACAAGCTGGTTCGCATGTTTAAAACTATCATTTATATTCAAAACAACAAACCACGTGCCGATTATAGCTACTGATAGCTAATTTTAGGCTAGTCTGTCGCGGAATATTGTTTCTCATATTAAAAGCTGTTTATAATAATCAATGAATTCATTTTACCTTTCTATGTCGTTTCCCTAAACTTTAGGTACTTTCTGTTATGGTTTCTACCTTTATTGTTAGGTAACAATGAAAGAAGTAACTACTTGCAAGCTGCAGTTTAATTATCCGCTGAAACGAGCAAAAATGAGTGATTTTTTTTTGTATTTCAAATTAAAACCAGATAAAGATGTGGAAGAAGAGTTGGCATTGCAGGAATTCTTTTTTTCGTGTGAGTGCGCCGTGAGTTTTTTTATGATAATTTGCCGCTGCACGATCAAAAAGTTTTGGAAACCGTTGAAATATGGGATTGAGTTGATTGATGACTTGAGTTGAACTTTTCCCTAAGTTTCAACAGAATATAATGCCCATATCTGATTATCTGATTAACCAACGCTTCAAATTAATGTGCTAAATTTATTAGAATTTTGTTTAGCGCCATACTAATTACGCCAGAATACGCATTCTATGTTTTAGAGCGGAAGTCGGTATCCATATTGTGTATAGCTCATATATCGATATATTATATATTAGTTTTTTCTGGTTCCATGTTGTTACAATCTTTCCGATTATAAACTTTCAACTATTTCCGTTCCTATTATACTATAAATCAGTAACCTATGGTGTTTTTTAACGTAATCTGTATTGTAGTGAAAGTTGCAACAGTTTTTTATGGTTTTCTCTGTTAGGTATGCAGTAGCTGGTACAGTAGCTGCAGTATCAAAATTGTTATAGCTAGTAAGAAAAGTAATGAACGACCAAAGGAACCAAGTGAGCTGCAGGGTGCCATAAATTATAATTTGAGAAACTTTACAAGCGGAGGAGAACAACTAGTTGTGTGTATCGTCGAAGAGGGATAACTCCATACTATAGTACTACAAATACTACTTACATACTTTTACAAGTATGTAAAATTTTGAAAACTGGTTGGAGTCAATGGGTGTTTCCCGATCCTTGACCGTGGAAAATTCTTCTGGAAACACGACTACGACTGAAAACAAACAAATGCCATGCAAAATCACGTAAACGGTGCAATATTTACAATTATGCTTGAAAGTATATTTGAGCGAAAGAAGTGTTTGATCAGAGCGGATGCACAATTTGCAATTGTTACGGTACGTCATTTTGTTGATTTTGCCATGACGTATTGTAGCGCCACCGTTGAAAATGTGACGTGAATACTACATCACGAGTAATATTTGCGTAGCCTCATCGGATTCTCGAAATGGCGTTCAAAAGTTTTCATTGTGATTTACGTTTGATGATTTAATCTTAGTTTTAGAAATTCTTTTGTTAGTTTCTGGACTTGGAGCAATAATCACTGAACTGGAAATATGGGCTAGCTAGGCTATGGACCTTTCCCCGACCTTTGACCCCCGAAAAATTCTTCCTATATTTTACCATTGCAAAATTTTCGGGGCTATTTTAGGATTGCTTTTGCGAGTTGACGCATGTAAAATGGGGTATGTGCTTCAAACCATCATTATGATTCATCGCATACAAAAATCGGTTTTCAGAAGTACCGGTAAGGAATTTTAGCCTAGTCTATCCCAGTTATTTCTACACTAATTTTTTATTACTGCAATTAAATTAAAACTTGTACGAAGAGAGAGAGATTTATTATTTGTCAACCAGAAAAAACATAAATACATTGATAATAATAATGAATATAAAGCAATACGCATAACGTTTCTTCGGTATGGACTGGAGGGAACGATACGACCATGCGGTCATCAGGGTCAGCTCCCACCATGTTCGCACCAATTGAAATAAGTTCACAGTAAAAATATTCATTATTATAAAGCGGTTATATATTCTAGAATTCTGTATCTTTGGAAAAAAGGGATCTCGACCAAGGGTTTGGCCTGTTCTTAAATGAGAAATATGTATTAGAAATTTGAGTACAAAAGTTCATAATATTTGCTTAGGATTTATAGATTTGGACATTATAAAAACCTTTGTATTCCATCTAATACAAATAAGGAAGTGGTAAGCCATGAATAGGACATATTTGGTCCTATCGTTAGTCGTTGGTCCTATCAGGAGATTAGAAGACAGAGTGATCATTGAATTATCTGATTTGTATTTAGGTTTTCTAAACAAAACTGAAAACTAACGAATAGAGTTCAAAAACGCAAAAACAAGGTAGTGTTTACGACCACGCTTGAAAATCTGTTTGAGTGAGAAAAGTGTCTGAACGGATGCGAAAAGAGAGCATTAATACGTCACTTTTTGCATCTTGCTGATTGGCCAATGTCACGAAATAAACAAGGAAGTTGAAGCTCTGGGAAAGGTCCATTCCACACCTAGACTATAACCGGTAACTTTGTGGCAGCATGAAACCGGGAACTGGTATTGGTTCAGGGGAATTCCACTTGTGAGTTTCTCCTTTAATCTTGTGATAAGTCATAGGATGCCGGTAGTGCAATGGCGGGGAGGTTTGTTGCAATATTCCAGTAGCAGGGTACGGTACCGGTACCGGTACCGGTACTGCTTTGTACTGAGGTTTGGTACCGGTACGGTACCGGTAACTGTTGATTTTTCCCAACTTTCCTTATTACCATATGAGCTGTGTAGGAATGTTTCTCCGTACCGGTACCGGTATCGTTTGCAATGGCAGAATGGTGACAAGTTGTTACGGTACGTTGTAGACTATTCTTGGGAAGGGAATAGCGTATTACCGATACAGCGATATTGTATTAAAGTCATAATTCTGTCATTTGCGTTACGATGATTGTATAAAGTAAACATGGCCAATATTCTGGTATCAATTAATCAATCTTATTTGGTCAATCTGATAGAAACAAAACACAAAACTACAATAAACGGACAAACAGAAGACCTGGATATTTGAATGGGAATGTTTTAACACATTGGATAATACAAAAACACTAGTTTATTATTATGTGAAATGCCTCTTTTTCAGTGAAATTTCGAAATACAATAATAAATCCAGAAATCAGTACAGCAGTAGGGTAAATGTTACGAACATTAAACACTGAAACATGTACAGTTTTATCTTGTGTGTAAAAATGTATGGACCCATATCTTTATGATGTTGTTGATAGTGTTGTACCTTATCCTGTTATCTCAGCATCTGTATATCATATGCAATTATGGCTTTAATTATTTTTTCGATATTATGTTGTGTTATTGTTTTTTTTTCTAGATAAAATAGCATAGGGCCTAGTCTACTAACATAACTAGGCATTGCAGCATTGGTTCAAATCTATCAAACCTGCAAACTAGACAAATTTGAGCATTCTTAACGCAGGATAATCAAATATTCTTTTTGGGATTTCTAAGTTTTCATAACAGGAATGATTTCATTTCGTTAAGTTGCCAATGTTAAATTTTTTAGGATTTAAGAAATGTTTTCTTTTTTGCTACAAAAAATGTTTGCCTTTCGTCACTTGCAAACATAAATAAATAATCTTAACTAATATCTCATCTCATAAAAATGACAAAAATTGGAAATAACTCATGAAATGGACACTAATATATAGACTACATGCTAATTGATATGGTTTATAAATCAATGTTATTTCATAAATTAATATCAGAATATGTTACCTAAATTAATGATATCCCAAGGGCATGATCAAAACAATGACATTTTATGATCATATAATTATATGTATTTTTGGTTGCGAAATTTTTAATTTTCTGCTTTTTTTATGTCTGTTTTCATTCACAAGGTGTTAGGGTTAGTCAGTGTACAGGTGTATTAAGGTATAGGAATGAATGATTGGCATCTGCGTGAATTTAGCTAATAGATTTGACTTAATGTAATAATCGTCCAACGCTGATGAAAGAAAATTAGGTTTGCATTAGTTCGACTCAAGTAGCTAATATCAGAATATGGAAAAAAATAAAATAAATTGCATATATCTCCCAAAACAAATTTGAGTATCCTACGTACACCTTGCTCGTATTTTTTTGTTAATCATTTAACAATACGAATTTATGTTTTATTCAATGTTGTTTGAAAATTAACATCACGAGCAATACGAGGTTATTTATTTGTTTGTTTGGAAAGCAGCCATTACACTTTCACTCTTGGGTAATCAATATGAAACTGTAATTCGAGTATACGGAACTGTTGAAAGTGAGCGCAGAAAACAAAAATGAGTGATGCACAAAAATAGCAATATCACATTTGAAGTAGGCCTATTTTAGATGGAGTAGGCCTACAAAACTACCATAAGTGATGTTTCAAATATGACTTATCAAATTAATATAACAGTTTTCATTTATGGAATAGATATAACTGTATAAGAAAAATACTATTCCTTAAATATTAAACACTGATTTTTTCATTTGCTTGTAATAATCTTTTTATCGAATTAGCAGATTAAGCTATTGTAGTTTAAAATGGCATCCAATAATCCAAATATGAGTTATCAACAACAAAGATATTATCCCCCTCCAACCCAAGCAGGCGGTTATACGGGGCAGTATCAACAACAGCCACAGCAATATCAGCAACAACCCCAGCAATATCAACAACAACCTGGCTATGCCCCTCTGCCGCAAGGGCCATACCAGCCCCAGCCTGGCTATGCTCCTGCTGGTCAGGTCCCCCCAAATGCATATGCCCCTCCAGGTGCCGCTGCACCCCCACAGGCCTATCCTGCAGCATCTGGTGACCAAGGGCAAGTGACTGAAAAGACCCCATGGAACCCAAACCAAGCGACAGCATACAGTGGGCCCGATTTGCCAACTGATGATGTGATGGAAAATCAGGCTGGAGATGCACCTGCTACTGCTCCACCACCAAGCTATGATCTAGCTGTTTCTGGATATGAAAATGTTGGGGTCACATCAGATAATCCAGTTGGCCCTCCTCCTGCATATGAACCCTCTGAAATGGTGGAAGCCAAAGTAGATACATCAAAGATGCCAACTATTTCAGATGATGAAGCGAGAGATGCGTTGTTGGTGCTTGTTAATAAAAGTGCATGCTGGGGAGCTGGAGCGGCAAAGAAAATGAAATTGAAAGATATGATTGCAACTAATGCATATCACTATACTCTCGAAACATACACTGAAGGTCGCACAACCAAGTATGCTCAAACCCCTTTCAGAGGTGGTTATGTTGATGGTCCTGAAAATGGTCAGGCACCGCTTCCATGGGAAATCTCATGTAATTCTACTGCTCTTTTTAAAACTGAGCAGCATAAGATTCCAGTACCACACACTGAAGTTGTTAAGACATGTAATTGTTGTTGGGGACGCGGATTCAATCGTTGCACAAGATGTCATGGAAGAGGAAATGTCAGGTGCTCGTTTTGTCATGGTTCTGGCACAAGACATGTTCATAATTCAGATGGCCATTCACATCACGCCCAATGTACTTCTTGCCATGGCCGTGGAAGAAAGCGATGTATTACTTGCCATGGATCGGGATGTGTTTTGTGCATTGTTTGTGCTGGGTATGGCAATGTAAAGCAATTTATTCAGCTTACTGTATTGTTTACAAATCGTTTGAGCGATCACATTGTGGAGCGCACCGATTTACCAAATGAGCTCATCAGAAATGTTCAAGGAGATGAAATTTTCCAGCAAACGTATCCCCGAGTCAGCCCAATTGAGAATTTTTTTGAAACGGAAATAAACCAGAGATCTTTGCAGCTAGTCAATACTCATGCATCCTCATGGCCAGCGGAACGTATCTTACAACAGAGGCATGTTCTTCGTTCAGTTCCAGTCCATGAATGCCATTTTGAATTTAAGGATAAACCAGGTCGTTTCTGGGTTTATGGTCACCAACGTGAGGTATATACAACAGATTACCCTCACACTTGCTGTTGTTGTCAGTGTGCTATTCTCTAAATAACAGTCCTCAGTTTTCCAATCAAAAATGATCAATGGAAAAATTATAAGTTGTTTAAATTATATTTTGTTTTTACAACTGATTATGAGAAATACAGAGAACTGTTTTTGATGCATGGTGATTTTGAACAATGTTTTTTTTTATATATATGACAATTTCAAAAAGCATGGTGATTAACAAAATATGATTTTTCTCTCATGATACTCCTATTTTTGAATGTGGTTCCATCGCTTATCTAATCTATGTGCAATATGTACAAAACTTTAACACTAGCCTAAGTAAATATTTGTTGTTATGCTCTGCAGTATTTTAGTTGCTTAAAAAACATTATAGATGTTATTTCTTACGTTTACTGAATGATTTACGAATCGATATAAGTAAAACTTCACCTTCAATATATTTAAGACTGCTTTTGTTATATATATTTAACCTGTCGCTTGTATCATATCTGATTTTAATTGGTTGGAAAGAAATCCTAATCAGCTTATATATATATATATATATATGACCAATATCTAGTTTAATGCTATATTCTGACTGTCATAACAACTTTATACATATCCTTAATGCTTCCTGACGATTACATGTTATACCCGAATGTCATACTATACAGATTTTTAACTAACTAATGATTCTTTCTGGTTTTTATTAACTTTTTTTGATTTCTTAATAAGAAAAGAACCATTATTATACATTTGTATATGGATCAACCGATCAACACATACCTTGAGCACCATTGCTACCTGTAAAATATCTCAAAACAACATTTTTTGATTTCTTCACATATAAAAGTCAAATTCTTTTTTTGATTGCTTCATACTAATATCCATATAATATACAGTATTGTAATTCTCAAAGTCCGTTTTATATATGCTTAGCAGCTTAGTTATTATCTTTTATTTCACATTTCTTTGCAGAAATTGATTCTTTACTAGAGGTGCACTATATTTAAAAAAAATTGCTTTTGCTATTTCCCATAAAATGTAATTATAGGGGAATTTTAGGCATTACAATCGAACTTGAAATTGTAAATTATTTTCATAATTAAATTAATTCACCCTTCAGAAATCAGAAAATATAGGTATTGAAATAATAGAAGATCTGATTATGGGCTTTTTGACAGGTTATGGAGTAAGAGTTTTTATTCAAAATTCTGCACGGATTTATAGTTTATTAGCTGCATGCTATCTGTAAATTATTATTATTTGTGTTCAGGTTTCATTTACCTACATGCCTTTGCCTGTACAATGCCTATGCTGCTTCCGTGATGATTTATTTCATGCTAATATCATTCAGCAGTTTTATTAATTTCATATATATGTAAAATAAAGACCTCATAATTAAGAAAATTTGTTTCTGTTCAAGTTGGATTCAATTTGGGAATGAGATATGGGATACAAAGATTGCAAGTTTTGGCCAGGAAATGAGTTGTTGGGCCAAATGAATGTCGACGTGTTGTTTCCGACTTCCCACGAAGAATTCCTGAAAGCTGCTTTTAACATGAACGAGAATGTATATGTCGCAAGTAGGACTGGGCATTTTTGAATATCTGGTGATTTCAGAATCGAATAGAATATTTTTTTTCGAATCGACGCTCGATTACTTAGAAGATACTTACTATTCAAAGGTTACATGTGTATTTATTGTAATGGTCGTCCAGGCTCCAGTCACATAAATTACTGAAAACAGAATCCATCACTCATTCAGTTCGCATAGGTTTCGCACAAAATTAGAATCATGTTACATCTAATATCTATAAATCATTAATTTTTTTTAAAGAAAAGAGTCATGTCAGAATTGCGTTTTAAAAATATGACTTCACAAAATAATACAAGATGGCGGCGATTCGAATATATTTTGGCTGGACTGATTCAAGACACGTCCAGCCCCAGTCGCAACTGTCATGAAATTAATGCCTAGAAATACCGATATAATTGCTGCAAATAATTTAAGGACGTCAAACTTCAAATGAGGCTTAGCGTGCGACAAAAAAGTTTCACCTTTCCAAATAGAATGAAAGTGAAATATCCAATCGGATTACGTTCGTTAACTATAGTAACATCATTCTTTTTTCTTGAACTCCGCAAATACCGAAGATAAAAAAGAGACACAATCTGGGTATGATCTTTCCTAACAAGAACCAATTTTCTGTATATTTAATCATACATCAATACCTAAAATGTTCGTTGTGAACCCCCATATATCCCTCGTATTCACATGTCCAGTTTCCATTTTAGAATGTAGATCAGAAGGATGCCTCTCCAACGTAGGTAAATAGCGGATTAATTATCGTTCGCTCCGCCCATTTTATGCGATAGCCGATCGCCCAGATTATATATATATATACGTTCCCCCTCATTTTTTTGCCTGGCAATTGGGCCGACAAAGAATGCATTGAAACTTATACATCCCAATTTAAATCTAGCTCAATTTTGGTCTAATCTAGTAAAGATATTCACATCATATGCTGCGCGGCCGCATTGTTCCCCTATTATATTTCCGTTATCCTATTATGTTTATAATAGTGTTGACTTTGTTTTGTGGCAGTAAATCTCTCTATCTATGTGTCCATTACACAGAATAACTCTCACAACTCATTCACTGAATCTCTCCAGATGTATTCAATATTCACTATGAACGATGCAAAAAATACATTCACAAATAGGCTACACGCTTTGAAGAACTTCAATTCAAACAAAAATCAAAAAAATTATTCCGGGAAGTATTCAGTTAACCCGGCGACATCTTGTTAGCAGAAAAATGAGAGATTCGTATTCTATATTCTTCTCAAATCATACGTCATAAACCTTTTCAAAGTGAAAATGTGACAGGCAAAGTACAATTTCGAATGGTATTGGGAATAACGCAGACAGAGAGGGTCCTAAACTACTTAGAATACATCTCACAGCGATGGAATACACTGGTATAATGCTCCTAGATAAAGTCAACAAAAGAAAAACTCGAGTGCGTATATCTGGGTGTTCGGATGACATAGCACGCACTGATGCATTGGCAACACAAAGAAAATTTACATCATTAGAGCTAAATATTATGACGTAACTTAAAAATGTTAGAACGTAATTTTTGAAGTTGAGGGCGAGTGAAAATGATACACAGCCAAACAAAAAAATCAAAAGACTCGAAGCTAGCAGAATATACTTTCTTTCCAACTTGTCTAGAATTCGTCCTCCTATTATTGACATCAGCCAACCAAAAGCACTTGCCACACAAAACAACAATCCCGCAGCCTTATCGGTGAATTCTGGGAATGCGTCAAGGGTCACTGAAGAAGTAAGTACATTAAGCAACGGAATACCTGCCATATATAGAACATATTCAGCAAACATGCGTAAAAATTTACGATCGCAGAATAGAGAAAACGTCATTTTAATTTCAGAATAGAAGCCTGCGAATTGTTCAGTGTTGATCGTCCATTGTTTTTCTGGAGGATAATCAGTTACGAAGCACATTGAAAAAACGTAACATATCAGCGCCACTACAGCTAAGATAAAATAAATATGGAGAAACGTGCTGCAGAACACTATCATAAGACTGTCTTTTTCGCTGATAACGGTTGTAGCGTTGAACGTGTTATCTTCATTTGAAAACCGAAATGTCTGTGTCGCAATTATATTTGAAATTACCATGGAAGCACTTCTTGTAACCCATATAATTGATGTTGCCGTTCCCTGCTGGTTACGAGGAAACCAGTTCTGTGACATAGTTTGAACAATTGGAGTCGAAATTGCTGCAGCCGCACCACTCAAAATTTGCCCAATTGCGACGATTTCATAATTTTTCCTAGAGTAGACTCCTGTCGCTATTAGAGTGTTTCCTGCAAACACAGCAGCAGAAGCGAGGAGAGTCATCAGCCGAAGATTGATGCACTTGGCCATGACAGCCAAAGATAACGCAAAAATACCTCTAGTCATATGATAAAGGTTTGATAATAGATCAATTGTATCTGGAGATTTTTGAAAATAATCTGAAGCGACATCATTTACAAATCCAAATATGCCTTGACTGAAGTTGTCCAAAAACACAATTCCAGATATGATGCACAAAATACCCCATTTCTTATAAGATATGAATCCAGTTCTTCCTTTCGCTACTAAACCGGTCCTAACAGATATATTATTTGAGATAGAGCTTGCTGACTTCTCTTCATCCATCCCCTTATACATAAGTGTAATGAAATTGTGAATATCAGGCAAAATCACTTTTAATTGATTAATTATCTTCGCGACGATGTAATGCAACGTCATATTATTTCCTTTTCTGCTTATCACGTATAATATTACAACGGTAAGTATAACGATTATAGAGTATGTATATATGGCGACAATATTTAAAATCTTTCCCGGTAAGCATTCAGACACTTTTTTTTTGTTCCACTGGACTCCAACAGTCACTGAATGATACGAAAAGTGACTACATAACAGATTCAATTACTTCTGCAGCGCAGGGTATAATATCATATATCCAGCGTACGAGATGCACAGATCATTTTGATAAATGTTTTATTCTGTAGGCTATACTTTATATATACAGGGTGGCCCCAAAGTAAGTATACAGTTATTAAATATATAAATAATACCTCTTTGGGTATCACACCTAGTACAACTTCAAAATCTACAATACAAATATACAACGGTATAAACATCTTTAACACCTGTATAAAAACAATGTATCACAGTATCACAAAAATTACTACAATTAAGACTAAACAAATTATGACTAGTGAAAGCACTGAAAAGGACATTAGACAATTACCCAAATAGTATTGCTAACACATTTAATACACAAATGTCGAAAACTAGACTATCTAATTCTCTCCAATTTCATATTTGACAATTCCCAGTATTGTTCAAGTGTCCTTGGGTTGGACACCTGGGAATCTCTGTATTTATCCAAATTGTGTTTGAAAATATTCACAGATGCACTAGACCTCACATTTAATGGTAAGCTGTTCCAGTATTTTACGACCCTGTTCCCAAAAGAGTTCAACTTTGAACGCTGATTTCCCCTTATGACAACGTTACCAACTTGTTGAAAAATTGTTGCCCATATGTACAAAAACCATTTAGTATTTTGAAGGCTTCTATTAAGTCACCTCTCATTCTTCTTTCTAACAATGTTGTCATTCCCAAAACCTTCAAGCGGTTCTCATAACTCTGTCCTCTACAGCAGCTTATTTGTGCTGTAAACTTCCTCTGAACTGCTTCTAGATTCATTATATCGCCCCAGTTCCCATGCTTTGGTAATGGCGCCCATAATTGTGTACAGTATTCAAGGTTTGGCCTCACTAAAGTCTTGTACACACGCAACATCACATCCTTATCCCTACTTATTATACTGCGTAATAACCATGCTATTTGTCCTTTTGCATGTGCAACAATTGTATTTATGCGAGTGGAAAACTTCAAATTCGTATTGATAGTAACTCCTAGGTCACATTCACTGTTCTCGCCGGTTAGGACTCCATCCAAAATAGAATAGTCATTCCACGGGTTTGATTTCGCTAAATGCAGAATCTTACACTTCTGCAGATTGAAAGAAAGTTTCCAATCTTCCAGCCAAGATTCCAATGCTTTTAAATCTTGCAAGATATCATGACTAAAAGTAGGGTTTAGGTCCGAAAGTAGGTTTGTAGTTCTCATTTAGGCACTTTTAAAGTTCAAGAATGCTAGCTATAGGCCTATCGTAGACAGAAACTGTTTAATTTCTTAAGTGATCAAAATGTCCTCCTTCAACATTGCAACATTCTTCAGACCTGTCCAAAACACTCTGACACACAGTACGGCACAAATTTCGATCTTCATCAATTTCTCTGAATTCATCATGAATGTAATCTTTTAATTCATCTATTGTTTTGGGATTCTTCTCATACACCTTATTCTTTAAAACAACCAAAATAAAGAAATACATTGGTGCCATGCCCTACGTACAGTCTCAGCATTTTCATACTTTCAATATTTCTTCAATATCCATTTTCTTTGCTCTTCATTTGAATTATTTGCCATTAACCCTCAAATAAAATAAAGATTTACAGAATGTATTATCTTCCAAGCAGCTAGAAAACTAATGTAAAATTCACACTAGAGTTATTATCTGAAAAATAAGCAATTTTTGTGGTACTTAACAAGTGACATAAAGTGAACTGCAAGTAGCTTCAAAGCATATAAAATAGTTTAATAACTGTATACCTATTTTTGGGCCACCCTGTATATATATACATACATATATCAATTGTCTCAGAGCCAGCTCAACTCAGTGGAAAGTCATTACCAATTTTGAAATTGTCTACAAATGTAGATAAATTATCACGAATTAATCA